TCAATGAGCGATACGGCCAGCCTTTTATGATTGCTAAAGCCTGCCGAGACAAATTACATGCTTGGCCAAAAATAGCGTCAAGAGAGAGCGCTGACTTAAGGAAATTTGTGGACTTTTTACGCAGTTGTGAATGTGCCATGGCTCACAATGGGAGTCTGCGTATTCTTGATGATGGCATTGAAAATCAAAAACTGACAGCCAAGTTGCCTGATTGGTTAAGCAGCAGATGGAACCGAAAAGCCACACAGTATCAGCTAGAGCATGGAAGGTTCCCAGATTTCAAATATTTTGTAACTTTCCTGACATTGGAGGCTAGTATTGCTTGTAACCCTGTTACATCTTACTATGCCTTGCGACAAGGGGAGCCGGAAAAGACAAGATTTAAACTTCAGAATGTAGTGACCTCTAAGAACCAAGCAGCAAGTGCAAGGATTTTTACAACTAACACCACTGAGAAGAACATAAGTACGTGTATGTTTTGTAAGAAAACAGGACATGTCTTGCACAAGTGCCGTAGACTAACTGCAAGGCCAGTTGCTGACCGAGTGAAGTTCATTCAAGGTGAGAAACTGTGCTTCGGCTGTTTGAGTCCTGGCCATCAATCCAAGAATTGCAGCAACCGGATGGTCTGTGACACCTGCTCAAGGCGCCACCCCACATGCTTACATGAGGATCGCTCAAAGCAACAAGAAAATGACAAGACAAGTTGCAGTAAGGAAAGAAAGCTACAATCGCCGCAAGACACCATTCAAGAAACCACATCCAATAGAGTTGTACATGATGGTAACAATGCTCAGACTTCAGCAATAGTTCCTGTTTATGCATCAATGCCAGGTGATTCAAACAAAGAAGTCCTTGTCTATGCTCTGTTAGATTCACAAAGTGACTCTTCATTCATTCTTGAAGAAGTGGCAGATGCTCTTGATGTTAATGCAGAACCAGTCAAGTTGAAGCTGTCCACAATGTCGTCCAAGGAGACAATTGTACCATGCAAAAGACTCAAAGGTCTACAAATAAGAGGGTTATCTTCTTCTAAGAAGATCACAGTGCCAACGGTCTACACTCGTGAATTCATACCTGCCAATCGTACGCACATTCCAACGCCAGAGACTGCAAGGGCATGGCCTCATTTAGAGCATCTTGCGGAACACATTGCCCCATCGAAGAATTGTGAAATCGGTCTTCTGATTGGGTATAACTGTCCACAAGTACTAATGCCTAGAGAAGTTGTATGTGGTGAGGACAACCAGCCCTTCGCACAGAAAACTGACGTAGGCTGGAGCATAGTGAGCTATGGTGATCCAGGCGAACACTTCAGTGATGCAATTGGAGTAAGTCACCGCATCATTGTAAAGCAAGTGACCCCTGAACCCAAAGTAACAAGTAAGTTGAAGAGCGAAGTTCATTATGTTTGTAAAACAAGAATTAAAGAAATGACTACTCCAGAAGACGTACTTAAGGTGCTAGAATCTGACTTCAGTGAAAGGCTTGGAGAATGGGCAAATCTCTTGCAAGAAGATCTCCGGTTTTTGACTAAAATGAAAGAAGAAATTAGGCACAAAGAAGACGGGCATCTTGAAATGCCTCTGCCTTTTAAACAGCGCAGGCCAGCGCTACCAAATAACAAGCCATGTGCTGTTCAACGCCTCATGTGCTTAGAAAGGAAGCTCAAGAGAGATCAGACATATCGGACAGACTACATGAACTTCATGAAAGACACTATCAGTCGTGGTGAAGCAGAAAGGGTCCCAGAAGAAGAGCTTGATAAACAATCAGCCTGGTATATTCCCCACCATGGCGTGTACCACCCTCAAAAGCCAGAGAAACTGCGAGTGGTCTTTGATTGCTCGGCAAGATTTCAAGACATGTCGTTGAATGACCACCTTCTTACAGGGCCAGAGCTCACAAACACTTTGGTGGGAGTTCTTTGTAGATTTCGAAAGGGCCCAGTCGCTATTATGTGTGATGTGGAACGAATGTTTCATCAATTCCATGTAAAGCCTGAAGACCAAGACTACTTGAGGTTCTTATGGTGGGAGAATGGTGATCTTGAGTCTCCGCCATCAGTTTTCCGGATGAAAGTCCATTTGTTTGGAGCAGCTTCCTCACCTGGCTGTGCCAATTTTGGACTCAAACATCTAGCCACAGAAGGTCAGGATCGATTTAACCAAAGCACTGTCAAGTTCATTCGAAGAAATTTTTATGTTGATGATGGACTGGTGAGTGTAGGGTCTGATGCTGAGGCAATCGAGCTGATCAAGGAAGCGAGAGAGCTCTGCAGTGCAGGCAAGCTTAGATTACACAAGTTCATTTCCAACAGCAAGAAGGTATCGGAGTCAATACCGAAGGAAGAGTGTGCTGACAGTGTTAAGGAGTTGGACATAGATTTAAAGGAGCCACTCCTAGAAAGAGCACTGGGCGTGCAATGGTGCGTATCCTCTGATGACTTTCAGTTCAGAGTAACTGTCAAGAAACACCCAATGACGAGAAGGGGAGTGCTATCTACAGTGGCTTCCATCTACGATCCTTTGGGTTTCGTAGCACCATTTGTTTTACGTGGGAAGTTGATCTTGCAACAGTTGGTTCGAGAGAAAGCTAGTTGGGATGAACCACTTTCAGAGGAGTGCAGATCACAGTGGCAGTCATGGTTACAAGATCTTCATAACTTATGTCAAGTAAGGATTAAAAGGTGCTACATGCCAGCAAGCTTCATAGATGTCAAGCAGTACGAATTACATCACTTCTCAGATGCTAGCTTCACAGGTTATGGGGAGTGCACTTATCTAAGAGCAGTCAACTCTAATGGCAGCGTACACTGCTCACTTGTCATGGGGAAGGCGCGTGTTGCCCCCACTAAGGTCACAACAGTGCCAAGGCTTGAGCTGTCTGCAGCAGTGGTTGCTGCGAAGATGGGTGCCGTGTTAAAACATGAGCTCGAAATAGACAACCTTAAGGAATATTATTGGACTGATTCAAAGGTTGTTCTCGGGTACATTAATAATGATGCCAGACGCTTTCATGTTTTCGTGGCAAATAGGATCCAGAGAATCAAGGCCACCACAGATGCCAACCAATGGTATCATGTGCGGTCTGAAGACAATCCGGCGGACCATGCTTCGAGAGGGTTATCTGCAGATCAGCTCGTTGCTTCAAATTGGTTCACTGGCCCAGACTTTCTGTGGGAAAAGGAGTTACCCACAAGAGATGCTAAGGTGGGAGAGGTTAGTGACAATGATCCAGAACTTCGAAGGGCTCAGGTGCTCAACACCAGTGCAAGGGCAAATAGAACATTGTTGGACCGCCTGACTAAGTTTTCTGACTGGAAAAGAGTTGTTAAGGCTATTGCTTGTCTTAAACGTCATGCTAAGCAAGTTAAGGGTCTTATTCCCAAACTCAATGGAAGTACAAGTATTGAGGAAAGACAACAAGCTGAACTTTTCATAATCAGATTGATCCAAAGAGAAGTATTCAGCAGTGAAATTAAGAATTTACAGCAATGCAAGGACGTAAAATCCAAAGACAAAGCAAACAAGCTATGCAAATTAAGCCCATTTTTGGATGAGCAGGGTGTGCTGAGAGTAGGCGGCCGCTTGACAAGAAGTGATCTTCATTCACATGTTAAACATCCTGCTATTCTGCCAAAAACAAGTCACGTGTCTTTTTTATTGATCAAGCATTATCATGAGAAAGTACAGCATCAAGGAAGAGGTATGACTGTAAATGAATTGCGATCTAATGGGATATGGGTCATTGGATGCAGCAGCGCAGTTGCCTCACATGTTTTTAAGTGTGTCACATGCAGAAAGTATAGAAGGAACACACAATATCCAAAAATGGCAGATTTGCCAAAGGACAGAATGGAAGTGACCCCTCCATTCACATATTGTGGCATAGATTGCTTTGGACCATTTTATGTGAGGGATGCAAGAAAGGAATTGAAGAAGTATGGTCTTCTCTTCACTTGTATGTGTTGCAGAGCTGTACATATCGAAATGCTTGATGACCTTAGTTCAGATGCTTTCATCAATGCATTGCGCGTATTCATTGCAATACGTGGGAATGTAAGGCGGTTGAGGTGCGATCAAGGTACCAACTTTGTGGGTGCAAAAAGAGAGTTCATGGACTCAATGAAGAACTTGGATCATGAGCAGGTGAGGAAATATGGCTGTGAGTTTGTGATGAATCCCCCATCATCAAGCCATATGGGAGGAATTTGGGAGAGGCAAATAAGGACAATCAGAAGCATTCTAACAGCAATGCTAGATCAGTCTGCTAAAAGACTTGACACCGCCTCACTTAGGACATTTTTGTATGAAGTGATGGCTATTATAAATAGCAGACCGCTGACCACAGAGCACCTGAATGATCCAACAAGTCTTGAACCCCTCACACCAAATCACATTCTTCTGATGAAGTCTAGCATCATATTGCCACCTCCGGGTCAGTTTGTGAGTCAAGATTTATACCTGCGTAAGAGATGGCGTCAAGTGCAGTTCTTGGCGAATGAGTTTTGGACAAGGTGGAGGAGGGAGTATCTTCTTAATCTCCAGCAAAGACAGATATGGCATGGGGATAAAAGAAACACCAAGGTCAATGACATTGTTATTCTTCAAGAGGACAGTGCTCCGCGAAATCACTGGAGACTAGCAAGAGTCACAGAGGTATACCCCAGCTCTGATGGAAGGGTCAGAAAGGTAAAGCTGTTGGTTAGTGACTCAACTTTGGACAAACATGGAAAACGCACATCTAAGCCAGTTTATCTTGAAAGGCCAGTGCAAAAAATAGTTCTACTGGTTGAAGCAGAATAAGCATGTGTTAAACTGTTGTAAATGCTTATAACTTGAAGATTTAGATCAGTAAGGAAATCTCAAGTTGAGATTTGGTGGGAGTTTAACTGCCATAATTGTAAATTATGTCAATTTGTTTAATTTATCGTGTTCATTTATGTTGTTTATTTCCTTTATTTATTGTTGTG